GGGAGGGGAGAGGAATGGGAAAAAAGAAAAATAAAATATAGCATGTACAGATACAAATTCTCTTTAATGAATGTTGTTATATATATCTAAAATGTACGAATAAAATAAAAAAAATTTCAGTCTGAAGTAATGATCATGTGGACATATTGGGTTAGGGTTTGTTAACTTTCCATGAATCATGAGTGTGGTATTTTTTGAGAGTTTTACTTTGTGTTTTAGGAGCTTTCTTCCCTACATAGGCTATGGATTAGTAGCCATTGTCACTTTTGGAATTATAATGGCTCCTCTGTCATAGTCCTTGCAGTAAGAGTAGTGGACTTAGGGAGGCATATTCGATACATCATTAGCAAGGAGGTATGGCACCTAAGGGCCACATACAGGTTGTGGCCACAGAAATTTGAGGTTTAGATCTGTATGACCAGAGAAGAGCCACATAATGATTTTAAAAAGATAAAAGTTTTATTATAAAAGTACAGCAGACATGAGTATACTCAAATAATGTATTACCACACAGTGAGGCAGGAGACAGCACCAAAGATGAAGGATCCTACGGGAGACAGGGTTTTTAGTTTCTTAAGTACTCTGTTCACACAAAAGTGACTTGGTGCCAACAGGCTTCTACAGATGGAAGGATTATCCCTGTCCTTGGCTATAGCCAAGGACACATACACACTAGTAGCATACTTAAGGCTATCTGTGAATGACATTTCTTTCCCCAGGTAGTGCAGCCAGCCCTTCCTTGTAAGAAATGGCATGCAGCTGAGTTCATCTAGTGAACACATGCATTTCACTGACTCTCATGATTTTAACCCTTTTCTTGACAGGAGGATAGGGAGAGACATGTATTCTGCTTTAATGGATAGGATCATGAAGTAAAGACCATGAATCCATGTCTTGTGTTCTGTGAGGATCCCTGTCCTGTTTCACTATCATGACCCTAATACTCCATGAGGAAATCTTTACAGAAATCACCTCTTTTCTTTGCCTGGATTCCACGCTTGGTCATCTTTAAATGCTAAAAGAACTTGAATTTTTGTCTCATCAAGAGCTCAAATTGTATTTTTCTCTTTACTAAACCATTGCAATATTCTTGGCTGGCCTTTGTCACTACAGCCCTTCCTAAAGATTTTTTATTTTGTCTTTTTAGAAAAGAACTTTTCTTAGTGCCTGTTTGCAGTACACAGTGATTTAATTCACAGTAAGGGATTGGTACATGTACATAACATTTAAATTTTCTTCTTTTTCCTCCTCCACCTCCTTTTATTTTTCTAGCATCAGACTCATTTATTTATAAGACCTTATAAAGTTAATTTTCATATGTACAGATTAAAAATCAGGCTAATAGGCCAAAGAACATATAAAACATGTAAAACCAGTTGTGGTGGCACATGCCTGTAATCCCAGCACCCAGGAGGCTGAGGCAGGAGGATTGATGCAAGTTTGAGGCCAGTTTGGGCTACATAGGAAGACCCTGTCTTGAAAAAAAAAAGTAAGATAATTGTACTAAATCAATACACTTTTAGATACATTGTCCACACTGGATTAGAGTACCTTTTCTCCTCTCTGTCTCTTTTTTCCTGTTATTTTATTTTGTTTTATAAGGTTTATACGATACTGACTTTGTTTGGCCCAGTAAGATAGTACCCATCCTGAGTCTAAATTTGATTTTTTTTTTTTTTTTTTTTTTTTTTTTTTT